ATACTCTACAAATGAATGTGCTGCACACAGGCCGCCTCATGATTCAGTCGGCAGTATATTTTCATGAGGCGGCCTGTGTGCAGCACATTCAGTTGTAGAATATCATAAACGAGAGATCCAGTTGAATCTCTCGCGAAAACCAAAGTAATTTGGAACATTCTTCCAACCTAGTCATCATTCCCAGGAGGGAGCTCCTGCAAGGCAGCTGATATTAGTCTCTTCTGTGAAGGCAAAGGGTGTTGTTTTTCTCCGATCAACTTTTTGGAGGACAACCAGGCGTGGTTGAAATTTTTAGCGAGTTATTAAGTCCATGATAGTCCTTTTACTCTTCTGGAGAGACATGTTATGCAAGCAGATTTTGAACAATCACATTTCCTTGGTTTATGCCTTTGCAACTTAAATACAGCCGCCAGATGGGTGGAATGGGAGCCAGAGAGGCAGCAACGCCCGTTTAATACTAATGCTCCGCTGCCATGCAAGTATACAAAGATTTTAAGTGTAGGGGTGAAAAGCGTGAGTCACAGAGGGACCTAGTGAAAGTCAACTGCAAGCGCTCTGAATTGCCTACACCTCCAAACACTGAACCAGGCTATGGGAGAAGGAGTGATGGCAGAAGCGTCACAGACACCGAGTAACCGCCGTTTCGTGCAGTGTCTCCAGCGAGGAGCAGGAGGGTCACGCGACACCAAACTCACCTAAACTCTTTATAAGCTCTTTCATATCCTTTTTGTCAATTCAAACGATGCCCATCTGGCAGTAGGCACCATTTCGAAGGATGCATGCTTGCCTCGGTAGACCAACTTTGGGAATGGCTGAGCCACCACAGATAATGGTGTTGAATGTCTTTCGTGACCAAAGCACACGAACCACCTCGTGAGGAATTTATCAATGTCATCCACTGTCAGCAACACTTCTGAGATATCGTTGACCAAATGTTGGGGATATCAATATCCCCCCCCCAAAAAAACGCTGTATTTTTGTGTGCTGGCGAACTTCCGGCATCCTCAAGGTCAAACTATGAATAAATCAATGGCCTATTGATATTCCAAGAAATTTAAATCCGACCACGTACACGATACCATCTTTTTACTAACTTGGGTTCGGAAGCTCGGGGCATCGCCTTTTGATCGCGTGTTTTCGGATCATTAAAGTTTGTGTCCGAGGTTTTTCGTCTTCTTACTATCCGCCGTGCTAGGAGTCTGGATCAAGCAACATAGCTGGGGATAGAGTATTGCCACAATCCGCATATCATATTGTTTGCTCGCTGCGTGACCGAACCGTAACACCAAAAACTGGGAAAAGTCTGTGAACAGTATCCGTAGGAGCCTTGTTTTCCAAAGATAAAACAATACATCCCTTGCTATGGGTTGGTAAACACAACCCTTGAGACTCAGTGATGTACCATAAGTGTGCCATAAGTGATGTCAGTTTACAGGTATAACGTTCAACCCCTGGCATTCGTGAATATTGTACCTAATTTTGAATTTTATACAGACAGCCAGTTCTTGAAGCGCTTAATCGTAGTCCTGTTTTTTTTTGTATTTTCCGGTCGGAACGACTGAAACTCAAGAATTGATGACAGTCCCTGATGGTTTTTTACTTGACGTATGGGCGCGTATGGATAACAAGGGTCCATAGCGGATTGGATTATGAAGTAACAGTACGAATACCGGCAACAAGGGTCGATAACATTACAATGCGTACGTTGGATTATGAAGTAACAGTACGAATACCGTTCATACAGCCGAGAACATGTTCGGACTGATTCGTAAACTCGATTAGTCTGGCTTGATTTCCTAGTGGAAACTGGATACTCTGATCAAAGGTGTAGAGTATGTGCGCGAATACGATGGATTCGAAGGGCTGTTTGTCGTTACATTTAGTCGCTCCCAAATACTTCTTGTGTGGAAGTTAACTCAGTTCGTTCTTCACACCACTTGTACTATACGTGATCCTTTACAACTGAAGCGACAGAATCCGACACAAACAGGAAAGACTGATGACTTAGTAGACTGCCCTAGTCAGGCTCTCAAGTGCAGTGAACAAATGCGATACACGAAACTAGTACATAGGATCCTAGATCATGACCACGTACCTACATAGGGGATCTTTTCTTACAGGGTTGGACACACTCAACTATTGGACTATTTTGAAACTAAAGTCACTGTGCTTGCGTAAACTTTTTCAGATGGATGAAGTACGGTGGGACATCGTGAATAATTGGCGTAGCAACTAGGCTGTGTACATTGCTGTGAGACAAAACAACGGATGAATAACAACAGTACGCAGCCACCAAATATGGAGACTCACCTCATCTATCTCTCTCTCACCAACTTCCATGATAATCCTCTGCCAGAGTCGTTGCTTCTCGCTCATCGCCTTGCTCAGAATTGCATAGTGGTGATTTTGAAGGGTCATCAGTGTATTTCTACTGAAAAACGGCTTCAGTTCTTCGTAGGCAGTCTAATAACAAGAAAAGTATTAGCGAAATACACTCGTTTGAGAAACAATTGGCTTAACGAGAGACTTAGCTGGAACCCAGCTGAATCTCTCGTTTGTGATGTTTCCAGGCAAATGAATGTGCTGCACCAGGCCACCTCATGTTTCAGTCGCTACGATATTCGAGATATTTGTAAGGCATTACTCATAAGGTTGCTGAAAATTCTTCTATCTGTAATACTGCCACATCATGCTAACTCATAGTTCAGTTGGTGCAACATCTGGGATATCACAATACACTGTATAGTTCAAACACACTACTCAGAAGATTGCTGTAAACTGTTCTACTGCCCACGACCGCTTTCCCCCTTCTTATGGGTCACAGCAGGTGTGCGGTCGACCGTATTTCGCGAATTGCATCCAATTTGGTTTCAAGTGTGACATAAGGTTAACAGGGGGGTGCGCTTACTCAAGGAGCTCCAAGAAGGGCGAAACCGGTTGTGGACTGTTCAAGGATTCTAAGCAACATTGTGAGTAGTCTGTCACGTCAAGATATTTGATACGTGCAGAGTCTCCGACTAACCATACCCAAAGGGCGTACGCCAGCCAAAGTGACCGATACCTGGTGGCCTCTTGAGCTGTGGACAAACCGAACACATCTCTCTAGTGTTAACACGCCTGTCTGTTTGGGCGTGCCTACTCATTTGCGTCCAGTCTGTGCAGCTGAATTAGTGGTAACTCGCTTGCCATATCCAGAGTTCAAATCCTGCCTAACTACCGAATTTGCCCTGTTTGGGTCTCACTTGATAGATCTGAGGAGATTCATATTCGAACTATTCGAACATCACTTTTGATCTCGATGTGTGTTGACCGTTTTAACCACCATCCCCTCAAATATCAATATATTCGTGAATACCTGAAACTTCTTTAAGTCTTAAAAAAATCCATCATGCATGTGAGCTCAAGAGCAACTATTCAGCCAGACTTCCGTTCAAGTCGCGGATTAGTTATCTCAAAGCAGGACGAAACCGATCGCGATCTGTCTACGACTTTTGAGTATTGATCCAATAAGACACTTATCAACAATGAGTCTACATTACTTGCAGCTCACTAACACTGTGCAAAATAAGGTTTGTGTGTCGCGGCCTGTTATAGCTCATCTCTATTGGAGTGATTTATAAGTTTATCCACTCGGCTGACTGACTAACCACCGGAAATCCTGATTGCGTTTTGTTATATCTAGCTGCGGCTTCACCAATCTGTTTTATCTGACTGCTGTCCCCGCTCCAGGGTCTAGTACCGGAAAAGACTCGTCGACAAGAACACAACAGGTTTATTGCGAGCATTCGAGTGCGATGTTGATTGCGAAAGTACGACGGCTTCAATCTGTTTTATTGAGGGGCACTGTCTGACCTTGGTCCAGAGCTGTCTCGCGCTGCCTGGCCTTGATTCAGGGCTGTCTGAACAGTGTCCCGTGTGGTTTACATTGCGAGCATTCTGTGGTTACTTTCAGAAATCTGACCTTCAAACTAAGAATCGTCGGACGGCGACGCGGCTTACCTGCTCTTATTTATCCCCAAAATCCAAACACTAAGACAGTTACGATGACCAAGACACAGCCGCGAAAAAATTTTGCACTGACTCCTACCTACCTTGACCAGACTGTCCGCATCGTAAGTTAACCGAGAGGCCGACTTTAGGCATTTCCAAAAACTGATCGTGTCGCTTTGATGCATAAGCATTTCCTCGTTTCTTTTGAGCAGGGCCAGTGCGAATCGGAAAAGACATTTGGATCCCTCCAACAAAAATATGTCCCAAATCCGGATCAAAGTCTGGTAGACGGGAAGGACAAAGTTTAAGATTCAAGTAAGCAAATCAGTTTGTTAATTATAAATCGGACAAGTTGATTGTTCAAACAATTATAAGCGATGTTTCGTCAGTAAATTAGGCATCTCCTCATCGTCACAAAAATTTATACTGGGCTGCTTCGTTCTTTGTAGACTGGAGCGACTGGAACAGCTTTTTTTAGCTGACTGACCTTACCGTGATGTGACGGCTTGCGCACCTCAGCGATCCATTGAGCTATACTGGAGAGTGTCCCGTGACACTCACAGAGTCTCTCATACCAGGTTGGTCAATGGTTAGAGGTCTGACGAACACAGTCTCCTGGCCCTCCAGGTTGGGGGTTGGAACAGGTATATAGAAGTGTTCCGTAAAAATGGCAATGTAATTGCATTTCCCGCCAAACACGGCTGCCTTGCGGTTAGGCTTTTGAGCCAAAGGCTTTGGTTGAGGACCCTAATCGTCCTCCTGTCTAGGTGTGGGCGCCCTGGCAGTATCCCAGCTCACACAAACCTGGGGGAGGGGTTATGTAGGTGGATAGGAGTGCATAAACGATTACTCAAAACTTGTGGGAGCTACAATTAGCCACGATTATTTATAAAATATAGAATTCATTCGTGTATTGTTTGTTTCTTCCTTTGACGAGGGCTCTGTACTGAGTAGGTTACTAGGGCGACTGGTTAAGTCAATCGAAAATCAATCAGGCGCTTCTTGAGCTGTAACCTGGTGGGGCAGAATTTGTCAACGGACAAAGTGGGATGGCTCACAGGATCAGATTACTAGAGCCATCCAAATGGTATCAAAAATGAGACGTGAAACCAGTAAAAAAATTGCTCTGCGACTCCAGACCACTTCGTTTCTGATGCTCCAGTAAGCATACTATCAAGAAGTAAATAGATGAAAGTGGATTATTGAGAAACTGGGTAGCGGATCTCACTGCAAACTCAAGACGGTTAACTGGACAACTCACGCTGCGGTCCTGCATTTGAATCGGGCCCAGTGGTCGCTTGAATTTATGGAGATGGTCAGGTTTCCATACACTACATAAGTTCAGGTCCGCTATTTTTAGGACTGGGTAAACCTTGAAATTAAGCGCACTTCTTAAAACAACTGAATTCTATTTTATTTTTGGCCTATGACGCTGCGTTTTCTGCGTTTCCTGGGAATTTTAGTGGTATTTCGCACTTCTCATGCACAGTGAGTTAGATTGCAATATGTGTCCATAAAGTAGTGATTTCGGACGTTGGTACATAAGCTATGCTATTCGAAATATTAGAATGTCCATAGTGTGCTAGCAAATGGGGTTTTTCAGCGACTTTGTATTGGATCTGGGCCGATCCTCTACGCCGTCGGATCTCGCTCACTACGGTGCACATGACTAGATGTTCTGGTAAAATTGCTTATATTGGTACATTGATTGGTGCTTAGCTTATCGTGAGCATTATTCATCTGTGGATTTGTCTATATACCGAAGAGCACATTTATAAACTTATTCGGCAGATTCGGTCCTCGGTGCCTATCGGTTATCGCTGGGGATCAATCACAACGTCAAAACTAAACAACGGTGTATATCCTCATTTCCGGAACCCAATTATTCCGCTCTCAAAAAGACACTTTCCAGTGTTCTGCGTGTTCAACTTCAATGAGAGGTTCGTAATGTTCTGATTGTAGACAGAGATGCTTCACACCTTTATATATTTCCTCTTATCCACTCTGTCATATGGATCACATATAGCCCACGTGAATGCAGTCGTTTTATCGATCGCCTTATTCAGTTTGAAGTGATCACATGATGCATTAGGTGCGGTAGCCTGGGTGGTGTTACTGCGGTAAGTTATGCACTTTTGGAGTGACCGAACGGTCCACAATATCTGTCATCTCTTGGTACTCAGCGATACCTGTTCGGAATTGAGAGGTTTTTAGGTGTTCGACAACCACTGTCTCAGAACCGTAACTCATGTGGGTCGGTGGCAGCAAACCCGCAACGAGACAATCAGAAAGCGAGTTTTCTGATTGTGCATCAGGAACTTCCATGGAATAGTGTGTCCAATAGCAGAAGCTTCTTTGGTTAGGTTGCGTATACGAACCGTCGTTTGCTGAAGAGAGTGCTGTTGTCCACGCCAAATTAAGGGTAGCGGAAGCAGAGAGTTGGCCGATTCTCGGCCTGTCTGAAGGACGCGAAAGAGATCACGAAAAGTTTGGGTGCTGTCAGTGCTACACTCCTTCCAGGATAGAGACCGCGTGATCCTCACTGCACCGGGTTGGAGACGCTGTGAGATATCGCTGTAAACCGATGTCGTTGGCGTTCTTGTGGTCAGCTTCCATCTAGGTTACCTGAATGAGTGTTCGGATGTGTAGGCAACGCGGGATGATTGTAGTAAGCTAGCATCAAGTCCGTTCACAATCCATTTCTCTTTTTTCTTCACGATAATGGCCTCAAGTAAATCATGGTTGTATCCAAGAGGCATCAGTGTGAACACGGACGTCATGCTGTTGCTTCTGATGAATGAATGAGATCACCTAACTGACCAGGTTAGAAAGCACCTTCTATAAGTATCAGCACATCAAATCCCTCGCGTGCCAGTAGGAAAATCTATTTGAAGAGACAAATGACAACGAATATCTACTTGCACACCATTTTGTTCATAAGGAATCGCAGATAACAACCTCACTCCTTACGTAACCACGAAAAACCAGTGGAAATAAGTCAAAGATCCCGTTCTTTATTTCAAAAACTGTGATACAGCAAAATCAACCAGTTCCTTTTTTAATAAGCTTACTCTTTCATTTTACACTAAGTTGGTCTATAATCCAAAAGGCTCGTTTGACAAGATACTCATGGTTTTTCTGTTGAGCAACTCAGGCACCAGAATGTAGCATTTTAGTTTTCTTAAAAGTCTGACAACTATGAGCAGTGGTTACTCATTCGACCTTGACCACACCTCCATCCAAAGGCGCTAGTGCAATACTCTTAAACATTCCTACTCCTCTTTAAATGCAACATTCTAAAGTGAAACTTCATGGAAGGCAGATTTTTCTGAACTTTCCAATCCAACTAACGTGTTATTAGCGAGCTCTACTGTTCAACCTCTGAGATCAAAGTCAAGATACTTTTACGTATTAAATGTTTTGAATATTTCCAAAGGTCAAATAACAGACTGACAGTATTCGGGTCGACTGACGCGCTAAAGTCAGTATTTTTCCAAATAATTCCGGCGAAATACACCTACTTCAAGTCAATAATGTTTTCTCTTTGATTTGACGTCTCTGCTGGATTACGTAACCAATGCGTCAAGAACAATGCGTTTTGGAACAAGAAGCATGCCGCAAAGCGCTTGCAAAAGGCAAGCCTTGACAATTAGAAGGTAGAAGATGCTCAGTTGCATATCTGACGTAGGCGTTAATCAAACGATTGCGGGGCTTTGCAGTGGGGAATGGTCACGTAGTAGAATCAGCTAAAAATTGAACCGATTTGGTAATATGAACGACAAAAATGAAATGAGTTTGGCTGTGGTGGAAACAAAAAAAGAGGATCCATCTGGATGGTTGGTTATGGAGTGATTTTAATTCTTCAATTTTGAAAGAAACACTACAATTCACAAGACTTCATCGAATTTAACGAAGGATTGAACGTATTTAGAAATGGACCTATTCGAGACGTGACAGCAATTGTACATAGTAAAGCGAACGAAGTATTCAAAAACTCGAAGCAGTTCCAACAGAATTAGTTGATTAACAGAATAACAGTTAAACCTCAGGGAAGGATGAGGAATAGTCTAAAATGCGTTGACTAAAATTAGCTGCCACCAAATAACTCAACTTAAAGGGGAGTCAGTCGTTCGACTGGACCAAGCAGCTTGCAAGGAAGCTTTGAGGTTTGCTCCAACTACATTTGATGAAATTTGGTTGACAGCACTCACAAGAGTGACATTTAACTCATCATTCTTACGAAAACCGTAAGCAGCTGAAAAGTCAGACCACCGAAAGCTTTGAGAATTTATTAAATTGAAGGATATATTGTCGTAAAGGCATGAAGCAGAAACGCGGTGGCATATATGATCTCAGGAATAGAGTTGTAAGTTTGAGAAACAGTAACGCTGAGCCGAAGCTGTAAGGGCCAGTTTTTTCGGAACAAGAAATGGAAAGGTCAGTTTTAGGTGGCTTCAGCGACACAGCATTTGAGCTGAACTTAACCAAATGTCTTCAGAGCTTTCATACAAACCATTAAGTAAGTCCTGATTGAAATTCTGGAGGTTAAAGCTGCTTTGGAAAAAAGGTTGAAACCACACCGTAAGTGTATGACTGGGTTGGTGTCAGGACGCACCCAGACATGGAAAAAGTACATGTGCAGAGTGTGACGCATCCACAAGGTCACCATCGGTTCGACACGTCCGGAAAGTAGGTGAGTTGGCGGCTCTCACCAAACACGGCTCAGCAACATACGACCAGCGTAGTGGGCCTATAAGTGTCCACGACCGGAACATCGCCATTGGCTGTACGGAGCAAACAAGTGAACGACCATATTTGGCCATTTAGTCATCCTGTATATTACGCAGACTCTCTGTATGTTTTTGTCCTGATAATACAACCGTGTCCCCAGTTCTCTGTCATCTCCCTATCGCGTAGTCTGGCAGGCTCAGTGCAGGCGTAAACCATAGACGGCCACCCACGATACAACAGTTGGGTTTCAGTTTCCTATCAATGGCATGATGTCACTCCCTGTGACAAAACACAAATTTTCTAGTCAAAACGAAACACCTCTAAATGTAGGGACTACTTACGGACCTCCGCAAAGGGAATGAATGTAACTGGTAGGCAGGTAGGGAAAGGCAGGCGTATAATGATAGTGACGAGTACGGAACAAGTAAGATCCATTGTCGCGAGAGATACTGATGAGCAAGAAGAGAAAGGATTGAAATAATTTATCGTGGCAATGGTGAGCAGGAAAAAGGTGGGATGTGCTTGACGGTCAAATTGGAGCAGAGTTTCAGAAACGCGTTGATATTATGGGATCAATAAAGCAAGATCTTTTGTCTCCAAGTTTATTTGAAACATATTTGAAACTGGTCTGAGACGAGAGGCACCCGAGTATATCTTGTAATCACCGAGTTTAAGGACTTGTTGAAGGAAAGTTCTCCATAGTGTGTGTCGGGCATTTGTCTGGTCACGTGAAAAACGAGTCGGGTTTGGAGAATCCAACTGATCGCGGTACATGACTGAACAGGGATGAATTTTGCAACATACATACAGTCGATTATTTTTACCTATGTGCGCTGAAATATGTGGTGAAATCATTTTGGAGGAGTGTTGTGCTGCGGAATATCGAAAAAAAACAGCTTCGCATGGAACACTGATAATTTCGTCGATTAAGTTTGCTTTTCCACTCAAAACGAAGGTTTCTCGCAGATAAGCAGTGAAAAAGCGTAATACGTACATTAGCGAATATACACTCATTT